TGGGGGACCCCCACCACCCCCGGGGGTCTGGCGACCCCAAACACAGCACAGGACATTCCGTTGTTGTTGTTCAGTCGCACAGTCGAGTCCGACTTTTCGCGACCCCATGGACCAGATCACGCCAGGCCTTCCTGTCTTCCGCCATCCCCTGGAGAAGGAAATGGCAACCCACTCCAGTATTTTTGCCAAAAAAACCCATGGACAGTATCAAAAGGACATTCAGTAGTCAATGCAATAGGATTAGGGTTGTAGAACCGACCGGAAGTCTAAAAAAAACCCCCAGAACTGAAGCAGAGCAAAAGTCTTAACACGTCACATTCAATGATGCAAAAATCATACAGCGGGATCCTGCTTACAGCAAGCCACAGGCAGTTGTAAAGTCCCTAATAATTTGTGCATGTAGCTTTGTGAATCATGTCTACAGTGTGGCCCTATTGCCTGTCTAGAGAGTCCCTCTGGAACAATTCAGTTTTGCATTGTCTGAGGAAAGGCAGGAGGGCGGGCCCCTTCCTGGTAGGCAGGAAATCGCTCGCTTGCCCCCATCTTTCCAGTTTGGTGTAGCGGTTAAGTGCGCGGACTCTAATCTGGGAGAACCGGGTTTGATTCCCCACACCTCCTCCCCTTGCACCCGGCTGGATGACCTTGGGCAAGCCGTAGTTCTGACAAGAGCTGTCCCTGAAAAAGAGCAGTTTCTGACAGAGCTCTCTCAGTCCCACCTACCTCCCAGGGGGTGTCTGCTGTGGAGAAGGGAAGGAAAAGGAGTCTGTGAGCCACTCTGAGACACCTTTGGGTAGTAAAGGGCCATGGGGTATAAATCCAATCTCCTCCTCCTCATCATCTCATTGGCTCAAGAAATGGGTAAAGAAGACCTGGCGTAGACTTGGGTAAGTAGGTGAGTTGCCGCCATTCTACCGTCGTGGTGGCAGCTTCTGCTTAGCCCAGTTGGAGGATGCTGAACTGCCAGGAAACAGCATGAAGCCGCCACGGGGGGGGGGGATGGGGGGGCTGCAGAACAGCCTCTCAGCAACCCCGGAAGGACGTTGCAAGGCCTGAGCTCTCGAGAAGTGTGTGTGCACATGAAGGCTTAGACCAGGAACAAAACTTTGCTGGTCAACGTGCCACTGACTGGACTCAAACTTTGCTCTGCTGCTTCAGACTAATCTGGCTACCCACCTAAATTTATTTCCCCCAGACCGCCTGTGAAAAATACTGGACTGTCCAGGTCAGTCCCGGACACCTGGTAACCCTGTCTGCCTGGCTTCTATCAGTCCTTTGGCAGCAGCTGGGATTGGCAGAAAGCAGCAGCCAAGGAAGCTGTTCACTCCCAGGAAATGAAGCGAAGGTCTGCTCTGGAAGGCACAGGCCTGGCCAAAAACTTGGGGACTCAAGTGTGAAAAGGAAGTGCAGCGTTTAGAACCTGGGAGACAGAGAGAAGAAGTAGGCAGACTTTGCTGAGAGTTGGCTGAACCACTGGCAGACATGTGTGTGCCAGCCTTCCCTCTAAGCTGAGTTAGCATGAGCGGGCTCACAGTTTTTTAGCCTCCGCCTCTCACACCGTTTGTCTTCGCTTGGGAAGGAGGGCTCCAGATCAAACTAATTTATGCAGCAGCCAAATTGCTCGCTCACAAAGTAGAATTTTTTGCTCACAGGACTCCACAGCTTAGAGGGAGCATTGGTGTGTGCGTGTGCGCATGTGCGTGCAGGATCGGTCTCTCTCCCTCCCTCCCTCTCTCTTTTGGGGGATTTGATGGGGAGTGTTAGATCTGCTGCCCCAATCCGAGTGTCTCCATGCGTCCCCCTTGAGCTCCACCGGTACATAACACAAGTCCAACAAAGGTGCCCCAAGTCTCCACTGTCCTCCTCCTCCAAAGGGAGCCCATCTGGGCATGTGCAGCCCCAAAACCCCTCCCCCCAGGGGGCGTGGCTCTCAGCACTCTCACCATTGGTCTTCCGGAATTCCTCCAGCAGGAACTGAGCTTCCTCCTGGATCCTCTCCTCAATGGTCTTCTTCCCCATCCCGAAATTCCTCAGGACGGTGAGGGAGAACCGTCGCAGCTGCTTCCAGCGCTCCCCGTTGGCAAAGACTACGCCTAGAGAGAAGGGGACCCAGATGACGTCACAGCAGCCAGGACAGAATCAAAGCTTGGGGTGCCCTGGGTGTGTGGGGGGGGAGAGGCCGAGATGGACGCCTCACCATGTTCGCGGAAGGTTCGTTCCAAGGTGGGCATGGTCTTCCTTCCACTGAATTCTTCCGCCTTGTCCACCAGGGCCTCCTTCACGGCATCGTGACCACACAAAACAACCACCGGGCGATTTCCAAGATAGACCGTGAACACGGGGCCATATTTCTCACTTAGCTGCACAAGAAACAAGAGCAAAGGGGTTTTTTTAATTTTAGATAATGGAACCATTTCTGTCCCCTGCTATTCTTTTCTTCTCACATTGGAGAATTCACGCACACAGAATTCATTGCCCCGGCTGCAATGGCCGCTGACATCGATGCCCTTTTGGAGGAGGGCCGGGTGTAGGGTTGCCAAACTCCAGGTGGGGCCTGGGGATCTCCTGGAGCTGCAACCATACAGTGGAGGGTTTTAGGGGCTCCGTCCCCTTCCTTAAAGGCCACAGCCCCACAAGGATTTCTCCTTCATTGCTTTTTTCAATAATTTAAAACCATTTTTAAAGGCATGTGCTCCTTTAAGCAGAGTGTGGTGCTGCAGTTGACGAATTCCCCCACTGAGCAAGGGGGTTGGAGTGGGTGACCTCTAGGATCCCTTCTAACTCTGGTCTCCTTTTAGAGAGTTTTTTTCTGCCTAAGTCTTAGCTTTCTCAACTATAGAAGTCCTCCCCACCACCTGCCGGCTCCTTCTCAGAATTCTTGCTTAGGCTGGCAGAAGTGATTAACTTGCAGCAGCTGAGAACTGTCATCTAAAGTGGCTGACAGCTTGCAATTTTGAGGTCTATCCTGGTCACAGCTTTCTATTGGCTAAAGGGCTTTTCTTTCTGCACTGAGAACTTCAGCCCCACCAGAAAAAAAAATTTGCCCCACAAGCCACAAAATCCTGGCTACGGGCCCGGAACTGGAGAAAATAGCTGCTTTGGAGAGAATAGCATTGTATCCTGCTGAGGTCCCTCCCCTCCCTAAATCCTGCCTTCCCAAGGCTCCACCCCCAACTTCCGGCAATTTTCCAACTTGGAGCTGGAAGCCCTAGCCCAGGGGCCAATCAGTGGTTACTAGCCACTAGGCATGCTGAAAGAAAACTGGAACCTCCGCGCTCCGAGCCATAGTCGACAGGTGCTGGGGAGAAGGATCGGAGAGTCCGTCTGCATCTTGCCTGCCTTGAGACCTTATTTATTTTATTTATGTATCTGTCTGTTAAACTTTTATCCCGCCCGAGGCCGGCTCAGGGCGGCTAACAACAGACAAAATTCCAAATTACATACGGATAATAAATACAACTTTAAACTACTGTATTGAAACCAGATATAATAATAAAACGCTAATCTCACTCGTTGGTATTGCTGGTCTGCTTCAGATGCTGTAAAGTACTTCAGACGTCATAAAGGGGGGAATCGGCTCAGGCAGTTGATAGGGGTCCAGTGGGTCAGGGCTCTTCGCCATACGATGTCAGTTGGCATTCCCAATGGTAATAACAGTGGGGGGGGGCAGCTCCAAAAGCCTGGCGGAAGAGCTCCGTTTTGCAGGCGGAAGAGCTCCGTATTGCAAGCTTTGCGGGATTCACTGTCGGAGACTGGGTCCTTATCAGACAGACCTTTGGTATGAACCACTGAAGCTCATTGGTTCTCTTCCCAGGCGTTTCCCCGCTGCCCAGCAGAAATGCCAGGGGTCAAGCCTGCTTTGAGCTCTCTGCTCTGTGACTCGGAAGCCCTGATCCGTACACTGAGATACGATCAAAGAGGACCTCGGATCTTGCCTTCCAGGGCCAAGCCCAGGCGTTGCAAGGTTCCCAGTCCGATTTTCCTGTATCAAAGCTCAGGACAGAATTATATGGAAGTGAATAAACTTTCCTTTCCGGCAGTGTTCATTTCGATCCTGCCGACACCAACGGTTGCAGACACTTTCCCAAGAGTGTTCTGCGTGCAGCTGAGGCAGAACGAAAACAAGTGTGATATCTACAAAATTTCTGGGAAAATCTCTGTTGTGCTGACATACACAAACGTTTCGTCACCTAGGAAACACAGCCCCTTGCATCTGACGGGGAGATATTGTTTCACTCTTTC